TGCAATGCTGCATTTCTCCAAATCTGTTCTGATGAAGAAACAAACATCTACATCTGGGATGGCCTGAGGGTGGGTACATTTTCAGCAAACTGTAATTTTTTAGAGTTATCCCCACCATTTTTTGTATATAGCTGTCCTGTAGTGTTTTGCCTTCTTCTCTAGCTTTTTGAGCTTGAAGTTCTTGCTTTTCCATGAAGATTTTATCCGCTTCCTTCTTTGCATTCAGCATCTCCAGGGCTTTCTGTTTCTCTTCCTCTGCCTTTCGTTCCTGCTCTTTCCTCTAATACAGGGTTATTTTCAAATTATATATATAAACAGTTTGATAGTCATAAATGCAACATTACTGTGGTAAAATCACTGTAATACATGGCCTCTTGTCACTAGTTGCTTTAGTTTAATCAAAAATCTAAATAATCATGCTTCCATTACTAGGCAAAGCTTCGAAGATTAAGTATTCATGAATAGGTCATTTACCATGGACTCCCTGTGTGCAGTGATGGAGTTCAACATGGCTGCATGTTTTTCTTCTTTCTCACGCTGTTCTCGGACCTGTTTGGCCTCACGTTCAGCGACCGCTTTCGCAGTGATCTCTTCCTCATTGCTGACTTGTTGCTGCTTCTGTACTGCTAGCTTCTGTATAATAGTCTCTCTGTGTCTCTGGAGCTCTCTAAAGCAAAAAAGAAATGCAAATACAAGCCCAGTGCTGAGACAAAGCAAGCAGTGAAGAGAATCATTCTTTCTCTCCAGGGTTCCCACACTTCACCCACGCAATGAATTTCCATAACTTGTGATAGAAATGTGGATGTCCATTTGTATATCAGGTAACAATCTTTTGAATTAGGACATTTATTATTAGTCTGAGTGTATAAATGTTCCAGAGTGAAGACGGTTTGCAGGCATTTTCTACCTGACACTCAGAAAGAGCAGTTTCTAGCTGATTAAATATTTTAGTACAGGGCAAAGTCAGTGTTGTTATTGGTAAATAAAACTTGAACAATTAAAAACTGTTTTGCATTGAAATAAAATAAATATTAGACAAACTGAAGAACTGAAAACTGAAAATGAAAAAATGGAAGTGTTGCCTTCTATGTGAAATAAAATAAGCTGAAGTTTAAGTAACTAAATTTATAACTAAAATTATTAAAACTACTGTAAACTGAAATAAATGAAATATAAACAGGGTTATTATAAATAAAATAAAACCATAAACAGAATAAAACATATAAAATAATAAAAACTATTTTTAAAAATCCCTCAAATTTAAGCTAAGATTAAAATGAAAAAACTAAACATTTATTTCAAAATATCAATCAATAATACTAAAATCAAGTCCATGATGTCTAAAAAATTACAATTTTAAAATAACAAAAATGCCTCAAATATTAAAAATGTTGCCAAATGTATTTTAGCTGTTATCTAGCCATTAATATATCATGTTTAGTATGGTTTCCAAGTGTTTAACATAAAGAGTTGGCATACTGTGTACAGTTTGAAAAAAAAAAGCCTTCATAAATGTAAAAAATGCTCCTGAAAATGAACTTCAAGTTCATTTCTGACACTAGTTATATACCCATTTATACCCACAAGAATAATTGACACTGTGTTAGCATGTACCTAAATAGTTCCTCCTGCTTCTCTTTCCTCATTTTCATGATTTTTTCTTTATGTTTGGCGAGCAGCTTCTGTTTCTCCTCCTCCTCCTCCTGCCTCTGAGCCTCTGTTGCTTTCATCAGCTCTTTGTTGGTCAAATAATCCTGATGGAAGACAGAAGAATGGATTTCAAAACAGCATCTGATTCAATCTATCTGTAAATGTTGTTTAACAATCGCCTCACGTGATGTGCCTTCATCACGCTTCTCTTCTCTTCCTGTTTCTTGCACTCATTCATGGACTGTTCCCACAGATGAAGATCTCTGAGTCGCTCAATTTCTTCAGCCTCACGTTTGACCTCCTGCCTCTCCTGCTCTTTCTTCATTTCATGATCTTTTATCCTAATAGAGCAGGAAACATCAGGTCCTTTTGCATTAGCTACATCATTGTTGCCCGATACACTGAAGCACTTTAATGTCTCCTTACTGTTGTTTCAAGCTCTCAGCGGTGGCCAGCTGGTCTTGTTTCCTCTGTATGGCATTCTGTTGCTCCTGCTGGAGGGCCTGTTCTTCTCTGCAAGCCATTTCAGCCACGATATCTCTGTCTATGTCCTTGCTGGCCTTTTGCGTCATGCGTTTTAACTCGATCTGAGCCTCTCTTTCCTTCAGAACCTCTGCCAGCAACAGAGCGCTCTATAAAAAACAAAAGGATAGTTTCTACTAACATTTCACAACAGAAAAGGTGTGATCAAATAATGTGAGACACAGACATGGAAGCCTTTCACTCTGTCGGTCTGGTAGTACTGCTGGGTTTTTGCTTTCTCAATGGCCTCCTTTCGTATCTGGGCCTGGTATTTCACTTCTTCT